CTCTCATCCTGAAGTGGATCAAGTGAAAGGACTTTGCTTCATAAGCTGCTTCATATTGCATGCTTTCGCTGCATAGTAGTAGCAAATTATTTAAAATATTTTTTGGCAATTTAAAGAAATAAATAACACACAACAATGCAACAATGTTTGGTCATGCATATAATAGTCCTTTGCTCTTGATACTTCATAGCTTGAAACTTGAATTGGACTATAATCATACAGAGAAACATAAAATGGGAAATATATAATTGATCTTACTTCAATGAAATACTTGATGACGTCAGTACTGAAGCATAAGCTTGAGAGAGACAGAGACACTAAAGAGATAGAGAAAGGAAAATGGCAAAGAGAGGGAAGTGCACAGCAGTGAAGTGTAATGGTAAATCAGATTAAAGAGCAATGATTACTGTAATCAAGAGTAAAGCTGTAATGCTATTCAGTGCATATAAGCGTAGTAGCAATTACTTTATTTCATAAGCTATACTTAATGAATCAGTGACATACATGTAGGCCTGTGTGTAGCATACATTTTTTGATATGGATGTGCTAAATGTAAACATATTACACATGTAGATGTAGAAAGGAATGTTGAGAGTAAGGAATGTAGGATAGGGTCATATAGGAGCAAAAATGAGAAAGGTGTATGCACTGTTAAAATGGTGAGCACTATACCATAAACCTGTGGGAAACCCTGTGCATACCACTTGGCAACATTTCATTTCTTTCCCTTAGTGCACAATGTCTTTGTCTACATGCATGGTCTTATTTGATCTCTCTTTCCCCTCTTAAGATGCCCTACATTATCTTTAGCAATCTTTCTGAATATAGTCTATTCTCATACAAATTCTACTCTCTTTATGGCTTTACTATTCTACACGTCTCTTTCTCTACTTTTAAAACTGCTCTACAGTTTGACAAAACATCCTGTACTATTACATGTATGTCAAAAATTGCTAGAGGTGAATTTTCCTTTTAAATATTTTGTCTGATACAAATACATGTTTTTGTGTTGTGTAGAAAGTTTGAGCTGAATCCAATTAAAATTGGACTTTTAATGAATTCATTAATTTGCTCAAAATTTGGACAAATATGCAGTCTTCGACCAAGTTTCATAAAAAATGGCTAAAAGAGAATTCATCACTTTTATATTTTTTCTAATGCATATAGATGTTCCTAGTTTGAATAGAAAGTTTAAGCTGATTCTGATTAGAATTAGGTTTTTTACAAATTTTTAAAGTTGCTCCAAATGCCATATACATGTACGAATGTCTGTACATGTACATACATGTGCTTTTCAACTCATGAAGAATGCTGTTTAGCTCACTTAGCATGCTTAGTGGGAAACCCTGGGTATGTACTATAGGAAGGGTTAGAGACATAAAGAAAGAGCTTAATGTTAACAAGTTAATGACAGATAAATGCTTCAGAGGGCATTGAATAATAGACAATAATAGTAATTATAGTAATAAGGCATAATAACAGTAACAGTAATACACAAATATGAC